CATGAAGCCCTTTGTGGAACTTGTGGGGTTCATGGGGCTGGCTGGGTTCACGCGGCCCGCGGGGCTCGCGCGGCCCATGGAAATCCTAACGCTCGCTTGGAGAACTGGAGACCGCCCGTTATGTTCCCACGCGCTCAGAGCTGGCATTCATCAACTCTGGACACGCGAACCCGAAGACACGGGCGACGGCATTCAACAGAGGCTGCAATGTATTCTTTTCTAATGGCTTCTTGGTGTTGGTGTCGGGTTCCTGTGCGCCGAGCTCCTACTAATGTTGGTTTCCTAGAGGTTCCAACTCCTAGGTGGGGTCGCACTGGGATAATTGTGAATAAGGTCTTTGGAAACAACAATGGTTGGATCCGCGCGGGTGCGGACTGGCTTGGTGCGTCTGTGGCGCCGCGCCCGCGCATGCGTGCTCCTGGCGCCGCCGAAAACCACCGGCCCATAAGGGATGTCACCGGGGCGCGCACACACTTTTCCAACCTCCGGCGCAAAGACGATTCCGGCGTGAGCAGTATCATTTGGGACACGAATGATAAATTGTAGCCCTGCGCTGAAGATCGCGGCAAGAGCCGCGCAGCAACCTAAGCGAGGAGCGCGCGGAAAATGCCATGGTGCGCAACAGCCGATCTATCTGAGTTCGATGGGAGCACACACAAACGCACGAATTCTGGGCGCGCGAGTGCGCCGCAGGCGGAAGTATATTAGTGCCCAAGTTCTCGTTGGGTGGTAGTAGCAAATCGTCACGGACAGAATCACGGACAGATGTCCACCGGAAAGGGCTGGATGACTTGTAGGTCTCGTAAAGCTTGCGTGGCCAGCCGGATGTGCTAGAAGCGGATCCAAAATTCGTGATGGGCTCGGCGGCGCATGGGCGTGGCCAGTCAAACCGAGAGATCTTTATGATATTATCCCTAGGAGGCAGCGAGCCTGAACCAAAAAGGCTACTGACCGAGCAGGGCGGGTGGGCCAGAAGTGCCTTCCCCACAGCGGGCGTCCAGATCATTACCCCCAAATGCCTATGGAAAGCCCGGCGGAGACTTTTATGCAAATGTCAGCCGCGGGATGCCCGGACATTTTTATGCAAGTGAGGGCTCCGGCATGCCCGGGCACATTATTGCAACTGTAGGCCCTAGAATGCCCGGACACCCCCATGGGAAAACGACGCTCTGCCAATGTCGGGGGCATGATTACACGCCTGCCTGACATGACCGCAACAACGAAGTAAGTGCACCCAAAGCGGGCTCGGCAGCGGACCCAGAATGGGTTTAGCGCTGGCGGCCCAGCGGAGGGACCGGCACACCTAACATGAAACTTCGAGGTGTGCCCCGGAATCAAGCTGGATGCCACAAGCTACGACGGTGGGTATTCGCCACCGTGCCTCCTGGCACGTTGAGGCGCGCTACAAGGCCAAGTGCTGTCTGGTAGGGGTTCTGTGATATTCTTACAGCCCCCCCCTGCCGGTAGCGCCCCCTTGCGCGCACCGCCCCCATCTTCCCGAGGTTCTGTCGGCGCCAAGACACGCCCCTGGCGCCCTCCAAAACGTACGAAATCCTCAAGATGGCTTCCAAGACGGACCTGGGAGGCCAACAAAGCCGCTAAAATGGCCCAAGTCGCGTCCAAGACGGCTCAAAAGGCTCTAAAGAAGGCCCAAGAGCGGTTCAAGAGGACGTCCAGGAGAGCCCCAAGAGGCGAATATCAATGATTTTCATGGTGTGTTTCCAATATTTGTCATGTTCTTCCCGTTTCGAGTTTCCGACGAGCCAAGAGGGTCCCAAGAGCTCCGAGAGCGCCCCAAGACGCTCCGAGAGGCTCTCAAGAGGGTCCCAAAACGGCCCAAGAGGCGCCCGAGACAGCCCAAGATCGCCCCCAGACAGGCCCAACAAAAGCCCAGGAAGGGGAACACGAACCGACAATTCGATCCTTCTGCTCGAAAAAAGCCCCCAGGAGCCCAGGAGGCCCCAAAGAAAGCCCCGAGACGCCTCAATGCTGCATCCAACGGTCCCCGAGGTGTGGTTTTTGGCACCTGGGCCCGCCGCGGGCTGTCCCTGCCCGGGCCCCGCTGGCCCAGCGTGCTTCCAGGACCCCCCTTCCACCCTTTCTCCGAGACGGGGAAAGGGGGGGGAGAGAGAGGGGGCGGGGGGGGGGGCGGGCGGGGATGAGGAGGGGGGAGGAGGGAGGAGGCAGAGGAGGGAAGAGGACGATGGGGGAGGAGAAAAGGAGAGAGGGGGGGGGCTTGAGTTTTGTCCGGACAGCGGCCTGGCGGGCTGGACGCCGCGAGCCCCGCCAGCTCTACGCCGTGGCGTCCGAGCGGGAAAGTGCTGAAAGAGGTGCGTTATATTTCAAGCAATCCTCGCGGCCATGCTTGGACAGATGCGGCGCGGACGCCGCGCTTCGATGCCGCGGCAGAAAGGGCTGGGGCATGCCCCTGAGGCGTGGCGAACCACGGATGACATAAGAGGTTTCGTTGCTTGGGCCGGCCTAGCCAGGGGGGAGGAGACCGGGATCTGGGTGGCGGGGGGGGTCACTTGGGGGGGCCAGATGTCTTTGGTGAGAGGGCCGTTTTCCTAGGAAATCTGGGGGGGCGCAGACGGGCTCAGACGGCCAGCGAGCCGGGGCCGGACTTTGGTGGAGATTTTCCGGTTTTCGGATCCGAACTCTAAAAAGGGGACCGGCGTCTGTGGGAATGCGGTTTCTTGGGGGGTTGCAAAGTGCGCCGCGGGGCAGGCGCAGGACGTTGGCCATTGTTCCGGCGGTAGACAGATGACGGGGCCTCATGGGGCAGCATGGAGGCTCGGCATCGAATCCGAAGGGTCGGGAGCTCCGACGCCGCGCGCGCGCGTGCGCGCAGGAAAGCTGCGCCGGAGGTCGCCTCACTCCGCGGGCGTGGCGGGGTCGCCGAACGCCTTGTGGATGCGCTTGACCGCAGGCCCGAAGAACTCGTCGAAATTATCCTCGGCCTTGGGGTCGGCCTTGCGCTTGGCGCGCGTGAGGCGACTGGTCAGAGTCTCACCTGCAGCAGCAACTTCGGCCCTGAATGCGTCGGGCGTGATGCCAGGCGGCAACTTCCACATGTCGCTCACGGTAAACTCGGACGTCGCGGCGTCGAAGTGGGCGACCACGATGAGCGCCTGATCTTTCATCGTGCGCGCGCAGCGGCCCAAGCGTTTCGTAGCGCAGGCAGTAACGGCGCGGAGGTTGGCTTTCTGGTCGGAGTTGCTTTCCGCGGCGTCCACGATGTAGTTTGGGTCCGCGGGGGGGGTCAGGACTGCAGGGGGGGGGGGGGGGGGGGGCAACGTCAAGTCATGTCGGCCCCCGCGGTCCCGACGCGACTTGGTTCGTAAAGATCATCTTGGCGCGAGGCCTCGCCCCCTCAACTTCGGCTTGATGAGTCATGTTGGCACTGCTCGCTCGCAATTGCCAGAGTAACACCCAACGTGTATACCCGAAGCTATCGATACCCGCTCGCTGTGTCTTCGATCGTGCCGCCCCTAGGGGGTATATATCACGTGCTTCTCTCGCGGGATTGGCGCAGCACGTAAAACTGGAAGACCAACGACAAATCGTGAGGACGGCGGTATAATGGAGGGAGGCAGGAAGGATGAGGTCAGAGGGAGGAACAGGGAGAAGGAGGAGGGTCATGCTCATTGCCCTTGCCTACGCCCTCCCCAACCGCAGACGCATCGCCATCATTCCCGTTCCCCGCTCCTCCCTCCTGCCCGTCCTCCTGCCCCCCCATCCCGCTCCTCATCATCATTGTTGTCCTCGCCGTCCTGAGCGTCGTCTGCTACCCCGGCCCCCCGATCGACGACGATCGAGATTCGTCTGCGGTTTGCGTAAGACGACGGTCGACGACGATGACGGTGACGATGACGATAACGACGACGACGATGACGAGTGGGAGGCAGCGGATCCAGCCGTGGCGACGCCAGAAGAGGTCTTCGTTGTCATGCGGCCATCTCCCGCCGCCTGGCATCTCGTAGGCCTCGCTGGCCATGTCACTGCACGCAGTGTAACTCCAGCCGAGGCAGCAAACATTGCCTCAAAAGAGGCGCGCACAGCGAAGTTCACCCTCCTTCGCCCTGTGACACTCTCAGCCTGGCCAGCCTCCACCCGAAGGACAGAGACGAGCACGAAGAAGAGGAGGAGGAAGTCGAGGAGGAGGACGAGGGAGGGGGGGGAGGAACAGGGAGGAGGGAGGCGGAAACACATGGGAACAAGAAGGGAGGCACTTGAGAGGGATTGCACGGGGGAGGAAGAGGACAAGGAGAGGGGGGCGGAATAACATCGCCAGTTCCCGACCTACCCCATCCCACCATCGAGCAGGGTCGCCTAAAAGGGGCGAACACGCTTGAGGCCGCGGCGCGGCACGTTGCCCTGATCAGGGCTGGCCTCGCGCTTGACGCCACCGCGCTCGGCCGCAGGGGCAGCAGCCTTCGCCCCGCTAGAAGGGGGCCAGAAACGACAGAGGCGGCCTTCTTCGGGCAAGGCGTGCGAGAGCTAGAGCCCTGCGACGGAGAGCGCTTCTCACCCCTCTCACTCACAGGCGCCGAGGGCGCCGCGCCCGCTGCCTCGGCTGACGCTGGCGACTGCAAAGCCGCCATCGACTCGAGCTCGTCCCACACGCACGCTGGAATATCCTTGTTATTCGGGACTTTGTTGGCCTTCACGAAGGCGTCGGCCAAGCTCGGGCCTGCAGGGCTGTCCTGCATATTCATCAAGATGTCCGTAGCCTCGATCACGATCGCAACTTGGGAAGCCTTCACCTAGCGAAGCTGCAAAGGATCACTCTGCACTCACGGCTCCAACTCCCCAGCTGGCATTGCCCCCGCCAGGCCAGGATCTGGCGGCGAGCGGGAGGAGCACGAGCGAGGGGGGGGGGGGGGGGGGGGGGAGGGGGGGGGGGGGGAGGAGGCGAAAGGTAAGGTGTTGAGGCGAACGGTGAGCGGGGTTCAAATGGGGGGCGAATGCTGAATGGTCCCTTCGCAACTCCGTGAGACCAGCGTCGCCATGGCCGTAGCGACGCAGGCGCTTGTGATGTCATTGTCCTGCACCCGCGGTGTCACCTGCATCATCTGCGCAGCCACGGACATGAGGCTGAGGTCCTTGTGCAGGATGTTGTGGGCGTACACCACCTTCTCAAGCTTCTTCTCGCTGCCGAATATGGCGCCCAGCATCTTTAAGCTGAGCCTGCCGCCAGGGTTGACCGCGGCGCCCCAGTCCGGGCATGTCGCCTTGCACTCGCCCGAGGACGCCGCGGCGATGCGGGTTAAAAGTGTGAGAATCCTGTCCTGGCACGCATTGGAGAAAACCGCGACCAGCGACGTCCAGCGGCGGGTGCTCTGAAACGAGAGAGGGCACTGCCATCCAGCCTTCTCGAGCTCAAGCGACACATCCGAGTTGAGGAAGGTGTCAAGCGCCATGGGCACATCCGACGCAAGCCTCTGCAGGCCGCTCAACGTCTTGAACGCGCCATCCTTCGAGGGCGCCTTCTGGCAGCCACCCTCCTTGAAGAGCTTGTCGTGCAGAAAGGCGCAGAGGGCGCCAAGGTCGTTGGTCGAGGTCACCACGGACAGGCACAACATGGCCTGGCCGGCCGTCATGCGCAGCACGAGAGGGTCCGAAGTGCAAGTGGCTTCGGGAAGAGCGATATCGGCAAGGCCGCTTGCCGAAATGAACTCCTTCAACTCCCCCAGGGCGACGCTGCGCTGCACGGCTGTCAGAGCGGCCATGGTGACGCTGGAATCGCCATCGAGCTCGGGCTGAACGCTGGCGAACTCCCCGTAAGAGTCCCCCGACCGAACCGCCGCATTGATCGCATCGAAATCGCTCGACTGGGTAGCCAACTTCTGCTGCGCATCACCCAGGGAGAAAGATACCCTCGTTCCGATCTGCGAAAGCTTCGCCATTGTAAGCTCGTCCGCCACGGCCGTGTACAGGGGTGTCCCTTCGAAGTATCGCGTCGGCAGTGGCACTGTGCGACGTGCGCATTTGACAACCTCACTCCAGGATGGGGGACCACATATGTCACATGATGTGGATGCGGGCTGGGTGGGGGGCTCACCTAAATGGGATTGTCAACGGCTCGCGTCGCACGGCGGCACTCCCAACCACGCCTACATCATCCATGAACCGCTGGGAGTCGTTCCAGACCTTCGCGACCAGCTCATCGTTCGCGGCGGCCCTCGTAACCTCGAAGACGACGGGGTCGTGCTTCATCTTGTGCACGTGCTCGGCCATGCTGATGACCCTCTCGGACATGTTCCTGTCGACGTGCTGCTCAGAGAAAATCAGCGCCAGAGTCGCCGCGGAGTTGACGTAATCGATCATGCCAGTGAGCCCTTTGATGGTGGAGTCCAAGCGGGCCTGGAAGGACATGTTGCTCTTCTGCTCGCCCTGGAACCGCTCACTGGTCGCATCTGGGCAGCTCCTCCCATTCAAGGCCACCTCGCACGTGCGCGAGCGCTTCCACATATCTCCCAGCGTAGCTCCGAAGCCGATCATGCCGTCGCGGAACTCGCCCAATATCGCCAAGCCACTGAAGGATCCCGAGCGGGCCTCCGCCGCGGCCGTTGCAAGCGCCACGCTTGCGCCCTCCTGCGAGGTGCTCTCCTCCGTAGGCGCCGCGAGCCGCGACTTCGTCAGGGTCTTGATGCGTTTGCCGAGGCCGTCGTACTGGACCGAGATCGTCACGCCGAAAGTGCGGACCACTGCGTACAAGCTCGCGTCGACGATGGATTCGGAGTTCTGCATCGTGTCAATCAGCAACTTCTCGTTGTCAGCCAAGGCGGATGCCGACCACTTGTGCAAGGAGAGCATAGCCCCAGCGAGCAGCTTGCCCATAAGGGCGACTTGGTCATTGATGGAGGTGAAAGCACCCGTCGCTTTAGACACAACCCAGTTCTCCAGGTCATCGAATGCATCTTGAAAGTCAGACTCAAAAGCGGCCGCGGCGCTGGTGAAAGACTTCGGCGCGGCCTCGTCCTCCACATTTCGTGCGACGTGCAAGCGGGGCACATCCGTGGCGTCCTTCGGGACCTTGTATGCGATCATGGTTCGCGCGAGCTCTGCTGAAGGCGTTTGGCCTGACTGCCTCGTCTGCTCAAAGACTGTCTTCCTGGCATCTCGTACCGTCACCGACGTGGGCCGCTCACTCTCTGCGGCGCTGCAGCACTTCACGATGCTGCCGATGGCCCCGAGCACTCGAGTGAAGACAACGCTTTCGTCGTCGTCGTTGTCACCAGTGAGTGGCTCCATCGCACGAGTCCACGCATGCGCGACGGTGCTGATCTCGGTCACGAACTCGTCGGTCGTCTTCTTGAGTTCCAGGCACGTATCGGGGAGGCTGTAGAGGTAAGACCGCATCGCCTCCGCGACCATGTAGGCCATGCGGTACTTGGCACTGACACCAATATGCACCTTAGTTGAGAGCTCGACCACGGTATCCTTCTGCTTCGTCGCCTTCTTCGCCTTCTTATCGGCGGGTTCGTCGCACTCCTATCTGACCTCGATCTTGGCGGGATGCTCTGGCTCCTTATCTCGCGCTGCCTCCTCGGGGCGCTGGCGCATCAAGTCGAAGATGGCCATGCTCAAGTTTTCGATCGCGGTCGAGACCTTGTTGTGCTTCTTGATATAAGCCTGGAAGACGCTGTACACAAAGATGACAGTCAGGTCCTCTGCCAAGGGGGGGTCCCTTAGAGGCCAAGTACGCCACCTGGATTCCGAAGTGGTCCAAGGTGTTGACGAGGTTCGAGTCGCCCGGGGTGCCTAGCCAATGCTTGAGACACTTGTAAAGAGAAATGGAAGCGTTGATCCTCGCACACACCTGCTTATACGCAACTTGCACAGAGTACGCCACCTTGCCGACGATCGCTTCGTGGTGATTCTTCAACCTTCTCTCCAATGCCTGCATCGTGCCCAACTTGTAATCTTGGAACCACCCCTCCTTGGCCATGCGGTCCACGCAGGTGTTCACCGCGTTGCGCATTCGAGCGATGGAGACAAACTCCCGCCCAGCGGGGAAGCCGCCGCTCAGCGACATGTCCTGCAGAGGAAGCCCGTGAATGTCGACCCCGCTCGACTCCTCGATGCACTCTTGGGACTGCGCGACTGGCGGCGCAACGTCGCCTTCATCTCCGTCGACTGGCCGAGCCACGTCGCCCTCATCAGAGACTGGGGGGGGGGGGGGGGGGGGGGGCATCACGTCGGCCAGGGCCAGCTGATTGTAGATAACCTTGGTCAGGAGCGTGGCCCGACGGCGAGTTGGCTGCTCTAAGGTCGGGCCAGTCTCCTTCCCATCCCTTGACGCACCTGGGCCCTCGAACAGGCCGTCCTGGAAGTCCTCGCCGTTCGCGCCCTCTCCGTCCTTCTCCTGATCGACCTTCGCCAAGCCGATGGTCACCTGGCTGTCGTCGTGGGCCTGCGAACTGAGGCCGTCCGCAACGGGCTCAAGCGCCGCGTCCAAGTCGGGGAGGTCGCCGAACAACTCCTCAGCTAGCCGCTGATCCTCTCCGGTGGGATCCCAGGACCCGTCGGTGGTGTGCATAGCAGGCGAGGCGTTTGTATTATGCCAACACTTCTGTTGCAACTTGCCCCCGAATCGAGATCAAGCCAAAGAGGGCTTCGGAGGGGAGGGGGGGGGGGGGGCAAGTATCGGGGGGGGAGTGCGCATAGAAGTGGGAGGAGGATTACCAGGAGGAGGAAGCACAGCAACAGTTGGGTCAGCTGCAGCACGAGCCCCGATGGAGGGCCTCGCGTGGTCCAAGGGCAGTGTCGACGGATGGGGTAAGCCTTCGCCGCGGTGGCTCTCTTGACCAGTACCGACTGGGAGCGTCTTTAGGTCTACGGTTCAAGAACTACAAGGTTCAGAACTACATGCAAGATTAGGTCCGAACCTCATTTTTATTGTGCTGAACATCCTAATACACTGACAACGTGAGTTGTGGACTTGTGTAAATGAGCACTACTAAAACGACGCATACTACGACTACAACCACTAGTATTGTAACAACACGCTCGACACCACAAGCAAAAAGAAACAACAGCAATAACTACTAGGATCAATGGCACTTATACGCAAACTAGTAGCAAAACTACCTGCACTACCAACACTGCTAATACTACGACTACCACCGCTACCACTACTGCTGCTACTGCAACTCCAAGTCCTACTAATACTCCTACACATACTCCTACTCCTGCGCCTACTCATACTACCACAGCTACTACTTCGAATACGATCTACTACTACTACTACCACTACGACGACGACGACTACTACTACTACTACTACTACTACTACTACTAGTACTACTAGCACTCCTATTACTATTACTACTTCTACTACTTCTACTACTACTACTACTAATACATCTACGACCACCACTACAAATCCTGCTACTACTACTACAACTACTGCCACTACTAGTGCTACGTCTAGTACTGAGACTGCGACTACTACTCTTATTCCTACTCTTACTCTTAATACCACTACAACTCCTACTATTACTCCTACTCTTACTCTTACTCTCACTCTTAATTTTACTCTGACTATTATTTTTGCTCGTACAACTACTACCGCCGTTACTGATACTACGATTACAAACTCCTGCTGTTAACTACCTCCTGTCTACGACTTACGACCTACACAGACTATTGCCTACTACGTAATGCCTACATACGAGCTGCTAACAATGTCATACTCACTACTATTACGGTTACTACTACTACTACCCCTACGACTACTACGGCTATTATTACTTTGTAGTAAGCATACGAAAACCTTTGCTGCTACTACTACTAGTAGTAGTAAGACTGCTATGTTGACTATCACTCATAATGCTAATATGCCGACTCCTGCTCCTAATTATACGCCTATTCCTACTACGACTACTACCACTACTACTACTACTACTACTACTACTACTACTACTACTACTACTACTACTACTCCTACCACCACTACTACTACTACTACTACTACAACTACTACTATTACTACTACTACTACTACTACTACTACTACCAATACGATTACCACTACTACTAACTACTTCTAAACACCCAAAGGGCCCAGGAGGCCATCGACGAGACCGCCCACACTCCCAAGCCAACACGGTCCCTAAACAGACACAAGACGCCCCAAGATGGCATCAACAACGTGGCTCCGTGGGCCAGCGGCGCGGCGCACGCCGCCGAGTCGACAGGGCCGCGAAGGAGGAGGAGGGAGAGGAGGAGGATGGTTGTTGTCGTTGGTGGTTTTGTTGTTGTGGTTGGTGTTGTTGTTGGTTGTGGTAGTGCTGTGTTTATGTTAGTCCCGCTAGCCCTCTGGGCGTAGGTGGTTTAACGAACGTTGTCTTCCCTCTTTCCACAACCCCTCCTATCCCTGCTCGGGGGAGGTGTTTCACCCCCTCCCCTGGGTCGGGGAGGGGGAGGGAGGGCCGAGGCGCCGGGGCCTCCAAGATCGCCCAAGATGGCTCCAAGAGGGCCTCTGAGACGCCAAGATGGCCTCCAAGATAGCTCGAGATAACTCATGCTAGCTCAAGATAACGGTCGGCATACCTCCAAGAGGCCCCGAGACGGCCCCCAGACGGCTTCAAGTGCCCGCCGAGCCTTAAGGCCAACATTTTTTCTATTTCCTTCCGGCCGGGCGTCTAGCCTTCAAACGCCTGTTGCAACTCTCGGCAAACGCAAGAGAGCAAGGGGAGAGATCAGCCCGCAGGCCGTGAGGAGAGAACGCGACGTCCAACAAACTACACCCCTAAAACCGCAGATAAGCCGGCACACCCAAAAATGAGGATGTCAATCTTATGTTGTTCCGGCTTGTGGGGCAAAAGTGCAGACTGATTGGACTCGGCGGTCATCGCCCGACTGCCTGTCAGTCTGGGCGCCCACATGACCACTGCAGCGCAAGCGCAGAGAAATAGGAAACACACAAGAGCAAAGACAAAGAAACCGCTGTCATCAACAGAACGCATGTCCTGCGAACGTGGCCGAAACTAGGGGCGGAAATTCGGGCAGTTATTCGCCATACAGACCCCGAGTGATACACTCAACTCCGATCTCAAAACGAGCACCGCAGCTCTCCTGCGCGGCCGCCGAGTCGGGCCCCAGCCGCGAGATCGCGAGGAGGGGAAACAGCACCAGGTGCCTCAGCATGTAACATAAAAATCGCACGAACTGCAAGGAGGGGGATGGGAACCAAGGGAGGAAACCGACAAACCCTGGCCCCAAGAAACGCAACTGAAAAAGCCTTGACTCTTCGCGTATCCCCACCAGCCCATCCAGCAACGATGCACTGGCGAGTGATAGGTTTTCGGAGGTCTCTTTGAGCCATCCTGGGGTCCCCTTGGAGTCATCGTTGGGCTCTTTTGGGGCCGCCTTGGCGCTCTCTTGGGGCTCTTTTGGAGGGTGAGAGGTCTCTTGGCGACGTCTTGCTCAAAATTGTGATCGGTAGGGCATGGCCCACACAGTGCGATGATAATGTCACACGTTCAAGAGCGACGGCACAGACTCTGGCGCAGACACCGCAGGCAGCAAGGCCGCATCTGTGGCAAAGAACACCTCACCAGAGCGATGCAGAAAATACTTAAAATAATATGGACGGCAATCCGCGCGGAATTCTCCTCAAGCGGGAAGCCACGATCCACCGCCAACACCGAACACGGGTCACCAAGCTGCTCACTTCGAGCCCGACTTCTTAGCCGTGCTCTTGTCACGTTTCCCGTCCTTGCCAAATATGTTGTGGCGCATGAGGTCAACGAACTTGTTCTGTTTGGGGTAGGCCCAACCGAGGGCCGCCTGGAGCTCCTGTTTATCAGACCTCAGCTGCTTGTTCAGAGCCTTCAGTTCCCAGATCTAACTCTTCAGCGCCCTCACCTGACCCTCGGCGTTGAGCGGCATGGTAGGAACGTAGGAACCCAACGAGTCAATGAGCACGTGTGGCGATCAGAGGTGCGCAGCAAGGGTGCCCGAAATGAACAGAGGCTTCAGAACCAAATGGCAACGCCAGGTTGGGTGAGCGGACGGCCTTGTCGCAAGCAAACTGTGTGGATGGTGAGAGGACGGCCCATGGTTTCTGGATGAGCTGGGACAGCGCCGCGGCGATGCCGACCGCACACTAAGCCACGATCCCTCGCGAAGGCTCCTGCTCCTTCTCCGCTTCCTCCTCTTCCGCACCCTCCTACCCCTATTGACTCTTTTCATCCGAACGCGCCAGTCAGGGTTCAGGATTGTCTCCGAGAGGCATAGACCTAGGGAGTATGCATGATTCCGCGCCGCTGGGTATACCTGGGAGCGCGTTCGGGGGTGTCTGAACTACTTTGAATTATTGACAGCAACTACGTTTCAGAGAAGACGCATGCGGCATAGGGAGTCCTATGTGGGAGCGCCCCGAGAGCGCCCCCGAGGCTGCCCAAGAAGGCCCCGGGAGCCCCCCGAGACTGCCCAAAAGGACTCCAAGACGGCCCTGACGGCCAACATGCACCACGACGGCCCCGATAGCGGCCCAAGAGGGGCACCGCCAACCGAGAACCCAAGGCGTCGGCCTTAAAAGGGCCCCAGGAAACCCCGCGAGGCCCATGAGAAGCCGCAAGCGGCCACCCAGATACACCCGATCTGAAGCAGGAGGAGGAGGAGGCAGAGGAGGAGGAGAAAACGGGGGAAGAGGAGGAAGAGGAGGATGAGGAGAAACATGCAAGCCGCTAGGATGGTTGCAAGTGCCCGACGAGCCTCGCGAAGACCCCCCCGAGAAACCAAAATGGCACCATAACTATAAGAACACCATGGTTGTTTCTCTCCACGCCTCTTCGCTTCTGGCGGGGCTCGGACGTCCCAATATGGCTCACATATGGCCCAAGAGAGCCCCAAGATTGGCCCAAGACGGCCCCACGGCGGAATGCCCAAGAACGCCCCAAGCGGGCCCCAAGGCGCCCTTTTTGAGCACCCGAGGGGTGCCTTCATGAAAGCTTCCCACATGTTTGAGCCGCGGGGCCCACGACGGCGCCAAGGGACCTCGCAGACCCCCCAAAAGAGCTCCAAGAGGGCCCCAAGATGGCCCCCAAAGAGCCCCAAGATGACCCCACGCTGGCCCCAAGTGGCCTCCCCCACAATAACACCTCAACTCGCCTGGGCATCAATGCTGGGTGGGCTGGTGCGGATACGCGAAGCGTCAAGAATTTTAATAGGTTTGCCCATGTGGTTTTCGATTGAACATCGCTGGTGATAAACAAAACGCATGCGGGATGCATCGCGCGCGCACGCGCAGGGGCGCCGCCGCGCGCGCGGCGGCGCGCGCGCGATGCATTGCGCATGCTGGATCATCTGTTCCACGCTGAGATAATCGCAGCCTGGGACCAGAGAATGAGATTGTACAATGAGTTGTCCCATTGGAACTTCGAGTTGACATCGCGGTGATGTGGATCAAACTCACACAAGATGCATCGATCGCGCGTGCGCACAGGGGCGCCGCCGCGAGCTTGGCGGCGCGCGCACGATGCATGTTGCATGCCTTGCATATGGTCCACGCTGAGGTGATCGCCACTAGGA